AACTGCATTAGATTTGTGTTAGCTTTGGTTAAATCTCTTAGTTAGATATAGTTAGTTCTTATTTCCTATTTTTAAGTTTAAGCCCAAGTGGAGCCTTTGTTGCAAGCCCGAAGAAAGGGGCTGATTGTTCATCTTATTTTGAGTGAAATAAAGGGTAATCAAACCTTCTGGAGTTTATGATTTCTGTAACTTGAACTAAGAGATAATTCTCTTAACAGTTCACTAGGCTCATTGACATTTACTTTAGTAGAATAAGAATGAGGAACTCTACAATGTAAACATAGAAAAAGTTAGGCAGTTAAATGAGAAATCTAATCTTTTATCTATAAGACAGTTAATATTTATTAACTTCTGCTCTGAAATGTAATAAAATATCTACTAAAATCTGTTCATTTATCTTGTAAATGTTACACAGAACCAGGGCTTAATTTCTAAAATTAGAACTGCCAGAGCTCTATGGAAGACTGTGAGGAAGGACAGAAAAAAATAAAAGAGCTAAAAATTAAAATAATTAAATGATAAATCTAAATTAATACTAATGAAATTAATTAATTAAAATTAAAAATATGTAAAGAGATAAAGAGAAATCTAATAAATTACTAAATTAATTTTAAATAGTTAAATAGAAAAAAAGGATCGGACCTTACCTTATTTGGGGCATCGGCTAGAATTACAGTTCCACTTAGATGCTAAAAACCAGCTCAGCCGATCTCCGTCTGAGTTTAAACCCTGATTATACGCATAATATACTATTTCAAGGGATGACAGGTACCCCTCTTTTTTTGCAGCAGACCAAGGAAAAAAGAGAAACCAATTAAAGCTACATTAAGGAGAATAGTGAGAATTCTAGAAACAGTATAAGGATATGGAGAAACATTTAACGTAAAAGTGTAGCTTTGTAAATAAACAGAGAAGAGTTCAAGACTTTCTGATCACGATGCTTTGTCGATATAATTCTAGTCGTCAAGCATAAATGTTCCGTGAATACTTTTCCTGAATACAGCGTGAAAATAAACATAAGACTTCTCTGTACAAGTGACAGCAGTGGTCCTCTTGTTTGGTTATATCATTCAGAAAGTCTACAACGCTGTTGGAATGAGACGGCTCCTGACCTAATGCAATCTCGAGGGTGCCAAACAGGATTAATACCGCCCCTCCTTGGATCAATCTCCCTTTTGCGACCCCACAGAGCAAGGGCAGACAAGACAGTACCAGTACGGTCCTTGCCGAGTTTTACTCTGTCCTGAGAGAGCCCCGAGGCCTTCTGTGAAGTCTGTTATTATGCCCCCGTGGTTGAGACTGCCTAGGTACAGGTCCCAACCAATACTTCCCAGGCGTTTGCCTGAGTCTCCCCCCCGGGGGGAATCAGAAAGTCTACAGAAGCTCTTCAGTAAGAAGTCACTAGCGTGAAGCGTGCACGACCAGGGTAACACGTTTAGTTCTGTGAGGAATACAAAATTTACCCGTTCTCATAAATTCATTGCATATTCTGGTGAATAAGCCTTTGACATATGACTGGGGGTTTTTCTTTCCTTAAAAGTCTCAACCTCTGTGCAAGGCTTGAGTGCCAGGAAAAGACAGGTCAGTATTCAGAATTTAAAATTGATTTTTAAAGCATGTTTGCTATTAAAAAAAATTATGTGCTGAAATTGTGGTTCACTTACATAAATGAAATGCCGGAGCCCTTAGGGCTCCGGTGCGCTCCGGCTGAAATTATAATTTATCTCGAAAACTGAGAAGTACTGGAGCGGAGTTTCGATGGGCTACGGCGCAATTTAAGCTCTGCACAAAAATAAAATTCATTTTAAATATTGCACTGTAACCTGCAAAGATTAGGATAAAAATTGAAAACTCAGTACAGAAATTACGTGATTTAAATTAGTATATTTGAACTTTAGCCAAACGGACGGCTAACAAAATTGATAGACCTCACTGAAACCACGACAGCCGATTTCCTTGCACGTTATGCACCACGACGCCTTCCCTTAAATTTACTTAGTTTTCCTCAAGTTTTATCGTACCTCTTTGAATTTACATATTATCCAATAATGTTTTTAAATTAAATTAATTTCGAATACTAAGGTTTTGAAATTGTGATACCTTATTCATCTTCACTACGGTATATTTTAACAATAGTAAGTTCTATTTTCCTTTCTTTCCGTCGATCATAATGAACTTTCTGGCCCACCAATGGCAGAATAATAAAATCGCTGAGTCCTGGTAGTTTGCCTGTGTTCCAGTCCAGATAAACGGGTTAGTTTCATGGGACCATTAATGGCTTTTGGGATGGCTATTATGAAAACGAGCCAGTTATCCTTAAAAAAAAACCTTATTGAAAGCACTACTTCTCTTAAGCAGAATGCCCACGTTTCGTTTACCGTAATGTAAATAACGTTAATCCCAATTTCCTTGTTTTCATTGAACTTTCTAAAATTTTAAACTGGAATTTGATCAGGCAAGAACTTCATGAGATAGTTGGTATAGAAAAATTAAAAAAAAAAGTCCAGTGAACGTTTTTATAAATATGGTCAATATATCAAGAAAGAAAAATTAGCCTCAAACTTGATGCTCTTCATTTACATGAACCTAAGTGGATTTGTGTGACAAAGTTGGCAGATTTGCTTATAAAAAATTACAAAGGGGAGAAATGGCTCCGGAAAACAAAAGTCCGGAAAACAAAAGCATTTTTAGAGCACAGAATACTACATTTTTTACTGCTTAATTCTTAAAATGAGAAAGATGAGAAATGAGAATAATGAAATATTAATTTACTCAGTAAGGAAAATTAACGTTTGTTTTAAAAAATTCGTTTAGAGATACCCATATCATATATTGTAATTAAATTTTCTATATTTTACAGAATCTCACGGAAATGTTAATGACTTAAATGCTAGCTAAAACCTGTCTTATTTCGAAATAGACAGAAACGGAAAGCTTCGAAATAAGGAAATAAATTACTTAAAATTAGCTCAAACGTTAAGTCGTACTTCTGACAAACTAATGGGAACCTTTTTCTCATTAAGTGTGGATCATTGTGAAAAGAATTTTAGTTGGAGTTAACTGGCACGTAAGAATTAACTTTTCCCAACTCAAAGATTTAAAAGCTAACTACTTCACAACTTCAATAGTTTTACTGCCGTAGAATCCGATTACCGGGACTAATTGAAACTGACGCAAGTCCGGGCAGCTGGAAATCTGGATAATTGGGTGTAATAAACTCGAGTGAATGTTACAGGGAATCTTCATTTCTAACAATGTAATATTTTTATCCTCACGTTAAATATTTATAACAAATAGCACAGAAAACAGCAAATGCTTAATTTCCTATGTTACTAATTGAGGGTAAAGGATTAACTGGGAAGAGAGGAAATAAAATATTTTCCCCCTTGGCATGAAGTTAATTGTAAACATTCAAAATTAAAATGTATAGTAACACAGAAAGCTGATAACAAATGGTCTGTAACTAAAATGTATTTAGAACTAAATAAATTTGCATATGCGTAATATTCGAATGTATTTCTAAATAGCAACAACTATTATAAAAGTATTCAGCATTACATAGTACGGTCGAAAATGTCTAATCACGGTCAAATTAATTTATCAGTATTTACAGTCTGGAATACAGAGCAAATCGTGAGATATTTGGGTATCGCTAAATTCTTACTCCGACTTAAAAACTTAAGGGTAAGCAGGCGACTACTTCAAGGGTAAGGCTAACTGAGATTAATGATTAATTCTGATATAAAAAAAAGGCTAATTATATTTTGGATCAGGTAAAGTGTTATCGCTTTATTCGCATCAATATCCGTATTTCCCCCTTACCATGAAATATAATATATCTGGAATTGGTTTAATTTTTCATTTAATTTTTGATCATTGGGTGACCTTATAATCTATATTTCCCTTTATTATAGAGGCCGTCACTATAGATAGAGAGGCCGTCACTATAGTGGAAACTTCTAGAAATTTCGTATTTTTCTATTTCATTCCACATATCACGAGTATTCCTTTTTTAAATAACAGTCACTGGAAACATTTCAAATGAAATTGCTGAAAATTGTCCTGTTTAATTACCTCTAAGTACAGTCTTTGCTTTATTTCTCTGATTCTACTGATTTGGTAGGACAAGCCACTCACAGCCACGAATACATATACATAAGCAATGTACATTTGGATTACAAAGCATGGTATATAAAGCTTATTTTGGTGAGATATAAACTTCAATGTAATTTTAAGTCTGGTCGTCTATTATTCAGAAACGTCTTACTTTCTCTCAGTTTCGATATCATCTTAGAATCTTTATCATGCGAAAGTATTCAGAAATGTTATATTCTGAACCTTCTCTATTTTAGTAACTTGTTGTTGATGAAATTTAATGTAAGCATGTTTCTTCATTAAATTAGTTCTTATTTTGAGCTTCCAAATCTACGAGAAATTATAACTTTAATTTTTCCCGAATATGTCCTTTTTTTATATGCAGATGCATAGTATTCATAGATGCATAGTATATTGTTCTTTTTAATCTTAATTCTATTAATATTTATATTTAACATTAAACAGTCATTTTTTCCCTTAAATTCGTCGGCATTGTTCAGTTTTATAGAAACCTATTCAAAAAGCACCTAAAATGTTGTCAAATGATTTATTAACTGGCTTCGAATAACATTTCCTCAACTTTTATTACAATTAAATAAATATGTGGACCCGTCGTTCGGTATGCTAAATTCCAAAGTTTCGAATTTTGTCTCATTTTTGAACTTTTTCGAATTAAAATTTTATCTTTATGCCATCTGATAGGGTTGTGGGATTTTATTCGGTCTTAGAAGAGCTTTCACTGATAAGTTTGTTTTTATAGGTTTTGATAAGTTTTTTGATCAATAAGTTTATTATATTAGAATATAAGGTTGAAAATGTGTTTGAACAATTCGAGTTTACCATTTAATATAATGCCGCACAAAACACAAAAACATAAACGATATAGGGCGAATACAATTACTGACCTCATTTACAGGTCTTGTAGCTCAATTGAATGCCGTCTATTAATACCTGCTGGCTGCGGATGACCATGACGTGTCAGAAAAATCATTTCTTCTGTAAATCTTGTTCCTTTCTTACTTCTGACTTAGAACGAACATCTGACCTTAAGTCCTAAGAAAAAGGTATATGACAAAAATAATGACAGCGAAAGATAGAAGTAAATAAAAGTTTTAGAAAATTTTGAAGAAAAAAGTTACCTTTATTTATGCAGAAATACGAGCTCAAAAATATTTTTGCGGTAAGCCAAGTGTCGGACAATGATATTTGTTTCTTTAATACTCTTAATAACTTAGATTACTATAATAGCTGTCAATGCTATGACTTCATCTGATTATTCTTTTTAGTTATATCGCCTGTTATTTATATGAAGTCCTACACCCAACTCGCATTGTTTTTGTGGCTCACCAGCGGCCGAGCGGTAAAGTCGCTGAACACTGGTAGTTCAGTCCGAGGTTCGAATCCCGCGAACGGGCTGGCTGCATGGGCGTTTTCGTGGTTTTCCCCATGTGTAACGTGTATACGAGCCAGTTCCCCTTAGAAAGTCCTCCACGAAGGCATCCCTCCCCTTAGGCAGATAGCCCTAGTGTGCTTTGCCATAATCAAATACACCACCACACCACCCAACTCGCATTCTAATACAGAAACTTCTTGTTCAGTGTAAAAAACAGTCTTACACTTTCAACTGTTCAAAGCTGGCATTCGCTCAGATATTTGTGACTTAAAAAGTGAAACACGAAACGTGGACCTTAATGACGTTATTTATATGAAGTCCTACATAATAACTTTCCGTGTAATATCCTTAATGACGTTATTTATATGTTGACATAATCGCTTTGCACTTTATAACCAGACAGATTTTCCCTTCTTAAATGTTTTTTAGGTAGTTTCTGTATTTTAGCTGAGGCATTAACATTTATATAAATGACACAGTTATTACAGAAGTGATAATGTTGCAAGATATGGAACATCTTTAAGATTGTTGTAAAGGAAAAACAATACAAAGAAGTTTTCTAATATATAATAACAGCTTGAACTATTACAACTAGTTACAGCACTACTAACTTGAGTGATAGTCACTCATTTTACGATATTTTCATTAACCTTCCAGCACGTGCATATGTTCAACATTTACGACAAATTCAGCTTTTAATGCACATTTTTCGCACATCGAAGCTGAGACGTCTGAATGTCATTTCTATTCCTCTTTTCTACTCTTCTCCACATCATGGAATGTCCAAGGAGTAAATGATTTTTTTCTTTTTACTCTCTGAGGTGTGCACACAGTCATTTTGATTTTAATGTTTTTTTTCGCTAGGAAAACTTTTTTTACTTTTTTTGTTCAAATATTTTGTAATTAAGTTACGACCTGGTTAGAAAAGTTGAAAATAAAGTTTTTTGGAAAAATATTTTTTGTATTTTTTTGTTTAGCTTTGTAAATTTAATTGTGTTGTCTTCTAAATATTTTTTTTCTCAAGTGTTATATTTTTTTTTTCTTTTTTTGAATAAAATTTCTATTGGTTTTCCAAAAAAGTGCAAGCTGTTTTTGCTTGGAAAACTCTTCAGAATTAGAAAAGAAAAGGAGACAAAGAAACCTTTGGATGGGAGAACAATAGCGATTTCCATTCTTTTCTTTTATTTCTAATTTTTAGAAATAAATAAAAACATTGAAGTTCATTTAAAGCGCGTTTTTGTAACCAGTAAGAAGTAAATTTCCTTGCAGAAAGTAAGTAATGCTAAACTTACTTTTTTCCCTACCAATTTGTTTTCTTTTTTTATTTGTCTATACTTGCCTTTGATGAATATTAAAATTAGCTTCGATTTTAAAATATAATTATTAAATAATAAATTCAAAATTTTCTATAATGAAATACATCATTGCATTTCCATCTCACTAACATAAGAACTTAAAAATAATTTACTTATATTTGAATGTGATATCATTTGTATTTTAGAATAATAAGATTAATATTTTATTTCTTAACAAATTTATTATCAATATTCACTCATTTTTGTCGTTTTTCGTGCCAAAAACGGTAAAATAACGGATGTCGTAAAAAATACGACGCGCGCGTTCTCATGTAAAATTGCCAAGCGCGCGTGCTGGAAGGTTAAAATAAATATAATGCGGTTTAGTAAGATACCGTTTCAACTGTTAATCAAAATGCCCAAATGGTTTTCTCTGAAGATGAGCGAATTTTATTCCATACAAAAAATTATTTTCTCTTGCAATATTTCTTACACATTGGTCATTCTATTCTGAGATAAAAACTAAAGATAAAGAAGAACACGCAAGGAAAGTGCCCTCAAGTATTCGTTCGGTGAGAAAAAGTATCTACAAGATAGAAAACACTGTCTGTAGTAAGAATGATTTCACTATATGCTTTTCTCGAAACAAGATGGAAAAGTATAGGTGATTTTTATAAAAGCCTTTAGAAAAACGTTTTCACCGTTTTGAGGTTCTTTTGCATTTTGAAAGAAAGTTGAGAGCTGAATTATGCCTGGGGTTGTGATTTCTTTAAAAACATTGCAGATCTGAGCAAAAGATAAAGGGTAAACTGGAGAGTATGTTTAAAAGTTGAAATATTAGTGGCGTATAATAAGTCCAAGAAATGTATGTTACCTGAATTTTTAAAAAAACAGCGAAAGGGAACATACTGTTTAATTTGGACAGAAATAAAACTAAAATAAATTTGGCTGCTGGTGAACAAAGTATCAGGTTTTCTTGGCACAGGACTATTTTTATGTTTATGTTAAATCGTAACATTGGAAATTTGCTATATATAATAATAACTAAGGACATATATTTATAACTTCTGTGGCGTGAGATTAATTGCATATTTAGTCTGTTGGGTGACATATATGATTTATTAATCTACTAGGCACAGGTTATTCAGAAAACTACCAGAAAACCATATGTAAAATTGTGCACTAATATAACTCTAATTATACAAAAGTAATAACGAAACTTTTAAGTAACACACAAAACGGAACCTTGTGTACGTATAACTTCCTACTTCGAGGTGCCACTAAAATTTTTATAGGTTTTTTTGAAGCCAGAAAAGACTAACAAACAGCTACACCCTCTACAGGCTTCAAATAATACATTTTCCAATTGATAATTGGATTTGCTATCATTTACACCGTGATAGTGCGAATGGGGAATTAAGTTATTCTTTATATTTTTCTCTGCTTAAAAAACGAATGATGTGAGGTTCGCTATTCAGTCGACTATATACAGATGATTATGAAATTTTTTTCGTCAAGTTTTAATTCGAGCACCATTAAGTTTCCGCAGCCAGAAAGCGTGAGAAATCAGTTATGCCCCAAAAGAATTTGAAACACGATTCTTACAGCTATTGACCGGATCTGATACGACTTATACTACTACAGTATTTGTAAGGATTTATTTATTTTTATCAAACCAGTTATTTTATGTTAATTAGCTTTACTTTCATTCTTCTTTTCCGCTTTACTGCCAGATGCAAATTTTAGTTCGCGGGTATTCAAATTAACAGAAAGAAATAGTATTTAAAGGAAGATTTTAGACTGTTGAATCAGAGCGTATTCCGCCTGCTGAGGGCCACGGTACTAGTTGAAAATCTTCGTTAACTGTCTATATGCGGCGTTGTGCTATTTTTGCAATCAGTTCTCACCAGGCAACATACGTGTTTTCATTCTGTGTAGCCCTTGGCTAACTTACGATTTAACTTATCTTTAATTTAAATTCAACTCTTTGGAGTTCCTCCATAAATGCTGGTTGATTTGTTAAGCCCAAAAATTGATGACTAAGTTTTAATTAAATGGTCACTTAACCCTTCTTACGTTCTTTGTCTGATTACTGGACATAGCTATAAGTCGCTTAGCTTCAAATTGAGTCTCAAGTTAATTTACATTTCCAAAGAAGATGAGCTACATACTCATGAAGAAAAATAGTGTTTTTTTATATCCATTTCTGAGGCCACAGAAAATAACTGATTCTACTATACGACGGAACCACTCTAGAGGAATGGTATCCATTCCTTTGAATCACTGTCTAAAATAAAATTTGGATAAACTGGATATTTAGTACTTTTATTTGATTTTCTGTAATCTACTGTAAACCTCCAAGACTGATAATCCATAACCGGATAATCATGCATTTTTTTATACAGTACAACAGGATGTGCTCATTAACCTGAGATTGGCATAATTATTTTCCAGCATGGGTTCTTCTATGGTCGGTCGTATCTATACGGTTTTGGTTTACATGATTCCCTTTCTCTTATATCTGTTTCATAACTCATGATGTGCGTGAGACCAGATTAGTCAATAAGAAGTTCAGCATAGATAAATCGAGTGGTGATAAAACATTTCTCACTCCCTCAATGAATGAACGCTTTAGCCGGTGTACCATCCAACAATATTTGCAAATAAGGAAGTTCTAACGTTTTCACTCCAATCGAATTTTCTCCATACTTAGAGGATTTTTCATAATCTATGAATGTACTGTGTCTACTGGACGCATTATTCTTTTCTCAATTTTTTTGTCGAGTACTATTGCTGCGACCTTTTACAGGAAACATACTAAACTGCTCTTTGTTCCTCTGCTTAGAGTATATACATTTTCTAATCTTCGACTTTATTTCATAACCAACTCGAAAAGCTCATTTAATAACTCTGGATTTCCAATTTCAACAAAATCTTGCACCTTTGGCAACAATCTCGCAAATTCAATTGCCAAAATTTTATATTCATTCTCACCAGGAGACAATAGTCCAAAAATTTCAATCTTTCTTACAATGAATTTTGACAATTCTTCGCCCTCCATTTGAATCTTCTACAGAATTTAGACTTCTAACTTTCTTAGTACGTATAAGTTGAAATGCTTTTAACACAGTCTGCTTAAAATTTTCGTATATATGTATTGGCGAATCGACAGAACCAATTAGTGTTTTACCAATATACTTATACCAAGGCTTATACAAAAACATTTCTTAGGGTTTGGCCTTTTAGGGCTGATTCCCCTTATTAACATTTTCTGTGGTTCAGTAATCCATATAATATAAAGTGAGTTTCTAACTCTTCGAATAAATGTACCACCGACCCCGATCCATCAAAACTTACATTT